AAAAGAAGTTGCAGCCAGTTTACTAATATCGATCCGTTGATGGTGGTCAATCCTTCGGCCACTGAAAAGTAAGGTGAGATTGGCGCAGACCAGGGCATGATCAGACTCCAGATAGGTACTCCAAAAGGGGCGGCAGCCTTGTACACAACCACGCCAGCGGCAGCTGATCGCGATCTGATCAATCTGAGTCCAGGCTTGAGATGCAGAGGGAGGACGCCAGGTGGTAGACCGGCGATGACTGTGCCGGAAGATAGTGCTAGCCAGAAACAGGTTATAGTCCGTGCACAGTCGCAACAAACGGTCCCCGTTATGTCATGCGACCAACAAGTCCCCATCGGCCACCTAAACGACTCTCTGCTGTGCCTAGACACCCGACCTGTGCATTCAAGTCTCCGGCTAATACTACAATATCTGTCGAACGCGCTTCCGGGAGAGGAACAGTTAACTGGTGGTAAAACTCATCCTTGATTGCATCCGGGCTGCAATCTGTCGGGGCATAGGCGGAGATGACGAAAAGACACCGTTTCTTAAGCCGGTTTCTTCTCACTTTGATGGAACTTTCTAATCTAACAGCACATAACCGACTGTTAATGGGAATCCAATCGATTAGTGCTGCCTCAGCCCTAGCGCTTAGTGCAACACCAACGCCTGCAAGATCAGACGAAGATGCCACAGGGTCCCCGGATAAGTGCACGTGAAACAAGCTTTTCGAGGCGACAGATGGAGAGCGAATTTGTAGTACTTCACTAGAGTCTTGGATATGGTTCTCGGATATACAACAAGCGTTCGTGTTAAGACTTTCTAAAGACATAGCCAGCCCTATTGGTTGTCTGATCTGCATTAGTGTGCGAACGTTGAAGGAAGCCAGCTTGAACGGCGTACGTGGTTTCAGAAAGACTGCTTCAGTATTCGTAATCGGTGGAAGCATTCACTTTCAACCAGACAGTGACTAGAGATCGTTTAGATAGAACAGAGTTTCCACCATGGGCGAGCTGCTGTATGAGTTGAAAAGTAAGGATAAACAAATTGGTTTTCTAAGGGGCCACACCCCGAGTGTCTGACCTAAAGGTCTAACCCACAAGGCAGTGGAGCGTCGTGAGGAGATGCAGTCCCATGGTAGCCGTGCCCAACAATTGGTTTATACGCCATTTGTTCCCTCAGGATACTGGAGCCCATGTGCCCCATTGGTTTGGAATCAAGGTTTTCCAACTCCCCTAGGTGGACCCTCCGTGTCCACCAACCCGGCTAAAGCGCCGGACATTCGCTTTTCGTCCTCACAACACCCCCGCCACCTGAAGGTTGTGAGTAGGACTTCCCTGGCAGAGGCTATATACGCGTGGCCATGTGAAAGTATTTCGAGAGGGAGAGCGGACTCTCCCCACTCTCGGCCGTACCAAGGCATTTGCGGGAGTTAGAGTATAAAGTTTTATACTCTACCTAAGCTGCACATTTAGACTAATTTCTTTTTATTGAGGTACCCAAAATGAACATGATACACAGTTGGAGATTAGAAATGTTTTGACATAAATCCAGCTGCAGTTTAGCGGATGCTTTTGTCTTTAACATTCTCTAATTTTCATTTCTACATATCTATGTTGCTATTCGTTTTCTCCAAGCTCTGCATAATTTTTAGTGTTAATATTTTGAGCTTTCAGCGACCGTGGTGCGAAATGCAGCCACCTTGACCGTTACGTAATTTTGCAAGACCCGATGTTGATTCCATTTGTTTCAATAAGAGATTGTTATTATTCTTCCTTCAGTTCAGAGAACGGTTATGATTACTTTATTCTGGAGGTTACATAACAGTTCGCAATTTGGCTAGTATTTTTATACGTGTCGATCATCTCATGCTCCTAAAAAACAATTCGACAATTCAAACTATTAATGAAAGCTGAATAGGTACATTCACCATAGATAGTGCTTATTTATACCCTTATACCCATATGAACTATTCACTGAAGTACCAGACAGCTGACATGTAAACCACCGAGTCGCGCTTGGTGAGTACAGTGAACGGTGAGAGCAAAGGGGATGGAGAAAGCAATGAGGATAGGTAATAGTAGACTATTATTCAGAATGATCAAGGAAACAGGCATTAAAAACCCGGGTGTTAGTGAGAATATCTCCAAAAATGATGAGATTGTTATTCACTCTTAATTCAGGAGATTGGACCGACTATGGTCGCATCTTTTGACCTTAAGGAAGCACTTTGATGATGGTGTGGTCTTGTGGTAGTACGCCGCTGAAAGGCGCACCAAAGGACTATACTAACTCTCTATTCGAATACTACCGGTCGAGACGGAGCTTATGACGAACTATCATCAGAACCGGTTACTTCTAGTAATGCTCGTCAGGGTTACCTGTTGTCCCCATTTTTATTTAACTTTGTTATAGACATTCGTTTAGAGATAACATTCCTATGATCTAGCTTTTTTGACATTATTCTGCTGCCAGGAAATTTACTTGTTGACTCAGAATGCGCAGATTTTATAGTTCTGTTTGGTAAAGACGCTGGAGAAATGCAGTCTTCTGGCCATCTTAATCAATAATGCAAGCATTTTTGGGATGTGGTTCTCTCCCTCCAAATCCACGATGTTACTACAGGATTGGCCTGTGTCAACGTCCGAATTAACGATAAGTAGTGAAGCAGTCTCATCAGTCTTCATGGTCTGGTGTTTGGCGGAGTCTTACAAGGCATCACAAGGCTCGACTGGCTTTCATCAGTTTGAGCCACTTCTAACCATAGGGTAGGTTTACAGTGCAGCAGTTTGCTCCGTTCTACTTTATGAACGTGAAGCATAAACACTAAGAATAGAGAATGTTCGTAGGTAACTGGTCATAGGTATTTGAAGCCTTCCTCGTATATTCGGTACCACGGAGTAAGAAATGTTTTGGTTAGTAATAAGGTACTGGGTAAGGATGGCAAATCGACCGGTGGGGTGGTAAATTTTTAACAACTGTGGTGGCTGAGACATGTGTTACGAATGCCTAACCACCACCTACCTTGACGAGCGATGTTGTGTGGTGTAGTAGAGTTAGGGGCAGCCAAGCCGAAACATAGCATTAGTTCATAAAGTCAGTGACAATTGGACTGAGCCATGTCAATGGGTGTAAAGTAGATGGTTGGGATCTGCGTTATTATTGTAACCGATGGCTAGAAGCTTTGAGCGGCATTGATCCAAATCGTCTGCAGTGGCGCAGATGCTTCCATTCTATGTCTTCCACCAAACTCCGAGATTCTAAATTCCTTATAACTTTTTATTTCCCTGATTGATTTTTTTTCGAATCGTACCTTTCATGTCTAATCTTTTGTACTGCCACTCATACTGTTACTAACTCTACTACTTTTGGATTTCATCTTGATATGCTAATGGCAAGTTCAACCGACATACAGACGTATAGGTTTCTATGTTGCATTTGATTGACTGACTTACTAAGTGGGGTCAAGTGAACATATATTCGAATTGTAGCAGAATTTAATATCTAATTGTACGTATGTATATCTACTTTTATCTACATGTTGTTTGGTAGCCTGAATATTTGCTCGTGTTTGATAAATTCTCTAAGAAATATAGAAACTGATTTATACCTGTCTTTTGGCCAACAATAGACAAAGATTCTGCGACTTTTATTTAATAATTTTGACGTATTTCTGCTTGCATATGAACATCTTAAATACATTTTCGTGCTTGTCCTTTATTATCGCTGATGATTACTAGGACTAATCTACGTATTGTATACGAAAGTGTGGGGAGTTGTATTCTATTCATCAACGTATTTCAACTGGAGTCGACCGAGGACAGTTAAAATGCATAACGTACACGCACAGCCCAGAAAGTTGAATTCAGCGTGAAACTTTTACCTTCTTACCCATTTGTTAATATTTCAATTGGTAAACATGGATGGAGAAAACCCTAGCTTTTAGATGGAAGTTCAGTTCAAATAAACATTTAGATCGTTATCGCTAGATAAGCAAAAATCTAAGGAAAACTATGGTGAAGCAGGATTAGTATGATTATCGGGAAGCTGAGAGAACTTAAGTATTGGACGAGACGTCAATGCTCATAAAAACAAGGCAACTGGGTATATTGAGCTTGTTCACATCATTAGAATTATTTCTTTAGAAGGTGGTTCAAAAAAGACATGACTCATTTGTCATATTAAAGTTTATAAAGTCGATTTTGATCCAAGCGTTTTCAGCCTAGTGTTTAATAATAATACCCGGTCATATGGCTTACCCTGAGTTGTAGATTACCTATATGCCAATACATTGAACACAAATGTATTCTTAAAGGCAATATGGAAAGTTTTACAGTTGTTCTATGCATTCATTATTTTGACAATACTTTATAGCCACCAGGTAAACTTCGTGCATAGAGAAGCGTTTTAATTAAGTTATTAGGTGTAATAAAACAATAAATTTAAATGAAATGAGATGTATTTTTTTGTCCTAATTAGGTTACCCAAATAAAGCTACAGACTACTTGCCTATAAAAACTCCACTCAGCATTCTGTGACGAGGAATTTAGACGGCGCTGTAAAATGAAAATAAGGTTCTTTTCCTAAATCTGGCTTTCAGGGTGCTGAAAAGATGCTAGGTAGGTTTATTTTACAAGACTTACAGAGAAATCACAATTATAGTTTTTAAAGGATATTAATATCTTATCCCTATTTAAAACCCTCACAGTATTGTATGATTACCACACATAAGACTGACGCATATGACATGACGTAATCGAAAATTATCACAGTTTAAAAGTAATGAAGAGGATTACATTTTCTACCACCTAATGAACGGAAACAAAACAGCCACGTCAAAGCAAACCAGATGACTTGCCGAATGCTACACCTCTAAACATGCCACCTGTATTAGACGTCCACGGAAGCTAAGTGGTACAGAAAATCGAGGAAAATACTACTTTAACACATTAAGGCTTTGGTTTTTCGTCTCTAATAATCATATTATACCGATGAGGTTACAAGAAATTGAAATAAATTACCTTCAGATGCAGGCCGAAAGCGATAAAGTCAGCAAAAGAAGCACGTGGATAAACATTTCTTTCGTATAAATACAAATGAATCACAGACTCAATAAAGTAACTGACTAAATTACTAACTGACAAAAATTATTAGTCGAAAACCAGGAACAAACCATCTACTTTTACTTGCCGAGCCTGCATCAAACTAAAAAAGAAACAAAATTATGAGTTAAAGTGTAAGTACAAATCGAAAAATATGTTCATCCCCATGCTTGAGTTTTACAATAATGCAAAATTAGTTTTCCTTCTACACTGAAACAGTCATACAATGAACCTATCTCAGCATCCATGGCAGGTGCAAAGCACTGATTTACGTAGAGGAATAAAGATTCAGAAGGAGCACATGATATATATTTTCTTATAAAATCCACTACCCAATGAATTTTCTGCTTCCTGCTTACAGACCACTTTATCTTTTTCATTACAGGAGCATTTCCAGCAGCCTTAAGCAAAAGTATCACTTTATCTAGCTGATTTTCTTGCTCACTATTAGTAGCATTATTACGTTCAGTGGATAAACTCATGCGACCACTTCGTCCCTTGTGTACAACCTTTTGAAATAATAATGATGTTTCAGGGTCATCAAATGGTTCAAATGGTTGAGGACGGAATAGAAGTCTTCAGTCTTCTTCAGTTTTCAGTAATAAGGATAGGAGGTCTAGTGACCTATTTTAATCCTTGCAGTTTGTTACACTAACTCCGCCTGTAGCTCTTCCAGGGGCTACTGCCGGTCCCAAGCCCGGGTAAAGAAGGAGGGTTGGACATGGGGTTAGCGACCCCATCCCGTAGAAAATCAACTCGCTAAAAAAACGCTAACCAGAAAAAATCATTCAAACCATTCAAACTCTGCCCTGGGAGTAGAAGGAATAATTATGACGTCTCATGATGAAAGCCGAGTTCATTCGGAAGTCATGAGGCCGATGCACCTTCTTAAAACCAGAGCGACAATTTTTATAGGTACATGGAATGTCCGGACAATGTGGGAGACCGGTAGAGTCTTCCAAATTGCTGCAGAAATGAGAAAATACAACCTGGAAGTGCTTGGAATCAGTGAAACACATTGGACGCAGGTTGGACAACAACGACTGTCTTCAGGGGAACTTCTGTTATACTCCGGTCATGAAGAAGAAAATGCCCCACATACACAAGGAGTGGCACTGATGCTGTCTAGAAAAGCACAAAATACACTTATAGGATGGGAATCTCATAGACCGAGGATCATCAAAGCCTTCTTCAGAACAAAGAGAGAGGGCATTACAATGAACATCATCCAATGCTATGCGCCGACCAACGACTACGATGAAAACGCTAAAAACCAATTCTACGATAGGCTGCAGTCAATCTTCGAGAAGTGCCCAACCAAGGACCTGACCATTTTAATGGGAGATTTCAATGCCAAGGTTGGAAAGGACAACACTGGATACGAAGACGTCATGGGACGACATGGACTGGGAGAATGGAACGAAAACGGTGAGAGATTTGCAAACCTATGTGCCTTCAATAAACTGGTCATAGGTGGCACCATATTCCCACACAAAAACATACACAAAGCCACTTGGATTTCACCGGATCACACTACACAAAATCAAATCGACCATGTCTGCATCAACAAAACGTTCAGGAGGACGATGGAGGATGTGAGAACCAGAAGAGGAGCTGATATAGCATCCGATCACCATTTGCTGGTCGCCAAGATGAAACTAAAACTCAAGAAGCACTGGACAATGGCGCGGACAACATCACAAAAGTTTAACACGGCCTTTCTTCGAGATGCTGACAAACTCAACGAATTTAACATAGCCCTCAGCAACAGGTTCGAGGCCTTTCATGACCTACTCAATGGAGAGGGAACCACCATAGAGAGCAGCTGGAAAGGTATCAAGGAGGCAATCGTTTCAACATGTCAGGAGGTTCTGGGCCAAAAGAAGCACCATCACAAGGAATGGATCACTGTTGGTACACTGGATAAAATTGAAGCAAGGAGGAACAAGAAGGTAGCAATCAATATCAGCCGAACCAGAGCAGAAAAAGCCAAGGCACAAGCCGAATACACAGAGGCAAACAAGCAAGTGAAGAGGAGCATCAGGACCGACAAACGTAAATATGTGGAAGATTTAGCAACGACAGCGGAAAAGGCTGCAAGAGAGGGAAACATGAGACAACTGTATGATACAACAAAGAAACTTGCTGGAAATTACCGTCAACCAGAAAGACCAGTGAAAAACAAGGAAGGCAAAGTAATCAACGATATTGAAGAACAACGAAACAGGTGGGTAGAACACTTCAAGGAACTCTTGAATCGACCAGCTCCACTGAACCCACCCAACATCGAAGCAGCACCCACAGACCTCCCAATCGATATTGGCCCACCAACAATTGAAGAGATAAGCATGGCCATTAGACAAATCAAGAGTGGCAAAGCAGCGGGACCAGACAACATCCCGGCAGAGGCACTGAAAGCAAATGTAACAGCAACTGCCAAGATACTCCACATCCTCTTCGGTAAGATTTGGGACGAAGAACATGTACCAACAGACTGGAAAGAAGAACTTCCGATCAAGATACCAAAGAAAGGCGATCTCAGCAAGTGCGACAACTACAGGGGCATCACTCTCCTCTCAATACCAGGAAAAGTCTTCAACAGAGTATTGTTAAACAGGATGAAGGATTCCGTGGACGCACAACTTCGAGATCAACAAGCTGGATTTCGTAAGGATAGATCGTGCACAGATCAAATCGCAACTCTACGTATCATTGTGGAACAATCAATCGAATGGAATTCATCACTCTACATCAACTTCATCGACTACGAGAAGGCATTTGATAGCGTGGACAGGACGACACTATGGAAGCTTCTTCGACACTACGGCGTGCCTGAGAAGATAGTCAACATCATACGGAACTCCTATGATGGACTAAACTGCAAAATCGTCCACGGAGGACAACTCACCGACTCGTTCGAGGTAAAGACCGGTGTTAGGCAAGGTTGCCTACTCTCACCCTTTCTCTTTCTCCTGGTGATCGACTGGATTATGAAGACGTCAACATCTGGAGGAATGCACGGGATACAGTGGACAGGCAGGATGCAGCTTGACGATTTAGACCTCGCGGATGATCTGGCTCTTCTATCACAAACGCAACAACAAATGCAGGAGAAAACGACCAGTGTAGCAGCAGCCTCAGCAGCAGTAGGTCTCAATATAAACAAAGGGAAAAGCAAGACTCTCCGATACAATACAATATGCACCAATCCAATTACACTTGACGGAGAAGCTTTGGAGGATGTGGAAATCTTTACATATCTGGGCAGCATCATTGATGAACACGGTGGATCAGATGCAGATGTGAGGGCGAGGATCGGCAAAGCAAGAGCAGCATACCTACAGCTGAAAAACATCTGGAGCTCAAAACAATTGTCAACCAACACCAAGGTTAGAATTTTCAATACAAATGTCAAGACAGTTCTTCTGTATGGGGCAGAGACGTGGAGAACTACGAAAGCCATTATCCAGAAGATACAAGTGTTTATTAACAGTTGTCTACGCAAGATACTTCGGATCCGATGGCCAGACACTATCAGCAGCAAGTTACTGTGGGAGACAACAAACCAGATTCCAGCGGAGGAAGAAATCAGGAAGAAGCGCTGGAAGTGGATTGGGCACACTTTGAGGAAATCACCCAATTGTGTCACAAGACAAGCCCTCACATGGAATCCTGAAGGTCGAAGGAGAAGAGGAAGACCAAAGAACACATTACGCCGAGAAATAGAGACAGACGTGAGAAGAATGAACAAGAACTGGAAAGAACTAGAAAAGAAGGCCCAGGACAGAGTGGGTTGGCGAAAGCTGGTCGGCGGCCTATGCTCCATTGGGAGTAACAGGCGAAAGTAAGTAAGTAAGTAAGTTTGTTACACTGTGGAGGTCCAATCTCGTCTTGAATATATCAACAGAAGGTGCTGATATTACGTGTTCTGGTAGAGAATTCCAGTAATCCACTACTCGGTGCGAGAAACGAAACTCCAGACGTAGACGATTTGATCTCGGTTTTTGGACTTTCTTTGAATGTCCTCTCAAATGGTCAGCCCTAGACGGGAGGAAAAGATAGGACATGTTAATACCAAGGTCATCGTTCAGGATACGATATGCCAATATTAGATCACCCCGTATTCGCCGGTAAGATAACGGAAATAAGTTGAGGTGTCTCAGTCTGTCTTCATAAGATAGGCTAGATAAGCCTTTTACCATTTTTGTCCCGCGGCGTTGGACTCGTTCCAACAAATCCGCCTCATATTTGAAACAAGGACTCGCTGCTTGAATCCCATATTCCAAATGTGGCCGTACGAAAGTTGGGTATAATAATCTAAACATTTCCCCATCCAGATACCGGAAAGATCTACGAATAGACCATAATGCCCTATAGCCTTTTGCAGCAGCAGCCTTACAGTGACTGGTTGTTTTGAGATCATTACTTAGTATGACTCCTAAATCTTTATAGTTTCTTACTTTGGGCAACACTAGTCCACATATTTTGTAGTGATACGAATCATCGTAGTTATTTAATTGCATCACAACACTTTTATTAGTGTTTACTTCTAGTGACCACCCATTCATCCATGCAACTAGTGAGTTAAGATCCTCCTGTAAAACTATTCTGTCTGACATACTATATATGGGTATCCAAATCTTAATGTCATCGGCGAATAGTAGGACGGATGACTTAGCTGTAGCTGGTAATTCATTTATATAAAGTAAAAAGAGAAGAGGACCTAAAATCGTGCCTTGGGGGACGCCACTTTTTACTGGTTCCCACGATGAGAGAGCCCCATTTACTCTTACCCGTTGTTTCCTTTCATGAAGAAAGTCACTTAACCAGTCTATGACTGCATAATGAATTCCAAAACTTTCTAGTTTCAATTTAAGACCAGAATGGGAAACCTTATCAAAGGCTTTACTTAGATCTATAGAAATGACATCTACAGGAATATTGCGATCTTTTGCCTCAGCCCAATCTTCTCTCGCAATGAGGAGATTTGTCAAACATGATAGACCTTTTCGAAAACCATGTTGTTCCTTTGACAAAAGATCATGTCTTTCCACGTAGTTTATAACAGCCATCCTAATAATTTTTTCCATTAGTTTTACAACTGTACTAGTTAAGCTGACGGGTCGATAGCTACTAACTAAATCCCTACCCCCAGTCTTATACACCGGACTGATTATTGCGTCCTTCCAGTCTCTGGGCAATCTGGACTGCCGTAGGGACATATCGAACAGCATCGCTAAGGGTTCAGCAATAACATCTGAGAGGGCTTTCATAATCCGAGGATGAATATCATCAGGACCACTAGACATATCAGGTTTGAGATGCTGAAGTAGGCTTAAAACAGTTTCTTTCTTAATAACTACAGGGTTCATCAACAAGTCGCCACAATCACAATGAATAGGTGATCGTTCCTCATTATTGGTAGAAAAAACTTTACTGAAATATTCCGAAAAAGCTTCCGCTTTTTCGGTATCATTTCTTGCCGAACTTAACAGATTTTCTTGTATCAAAAGTGACGGTATTCCATCACTTCTCTGAGTTCGCCTCTTTATATACGAGTATAAC